TCATCACCCTCACTAGTTCCATTATTTCTAATAGCAAGTAGGATACACTACCCCCATTATTTCTTTATTTAAATGGAAGTCGATTGCATTATTTTCATTCCACAACATAATGAGTATTCAAACCATGAGGCCTATTTGTTTTTCTATAGCATATCCACTAAAACTGAGATAACATGCAGTCGCGGTTAACCGATAACCGAACCGATAAAGTCGGTTAGTGGTTAACCGATAACCGCTACTTCCTTATTGATTTCGGTTTCGGTTAGTAGTATTTTGGTTAGTGGTTAACCGCTAACCGATTAATCGGTTAGCGGTTAACCGGTAAGAAAACCGATAACCGCCTACTAGTGTGACTACATGGTTTTTACTTTGGCTAAGGGAAAAAGTTGTAAGATTCAAAACCAATCAAAGTTGCTATTCCAAACATCACAATTCTCACCTATTGCAAACAACCCTCCATCAAGAGTCTCAAATGTTTTTAAGAGTTAGAACTCGAAAGTCACCCCTCTCTAAATCCCCTTTGCACTCGATAGAGTGAACCTTAGGTTGTTGATGACTATGGGCTAGATGAAGATCTTGGAGTAAATGATGACTATGGGCTAGATGAATTGGAGCGAGATCCTCGGATCATTTAGGTTGATGATTTGGAGATAATGAACTTGTTATTTGTGTCTTGTTGTGATTGTGACTTGTGGTTGAATTGTGGGCATGTAGACTTTATGTTGTGGAGTTGTGGTTGATTGTGTGGTTGCTTTAGGCTTTATGTTCAATTGATTTAGATGACTTTATGGTGTGTGATTATAGAGGTTGAAACAAAAGCAGGTCACTCAAAATTGAGGGCGAATCATTAAAAAAGGTGGTTGAAATTCGGTTTTGGGTGGTCGGTTTCTGAACGAAAATCGAGAAAGTGAACCAGAACCTGCGGTTTCGGTTAACTGCAAGGGAAAACCGAAACCGATGTTTGCGGTTTTTGGTTAACCGAAGTCTCTATCGGTTTCGGTTTCGGTTAGTGATCTTGGGACAATTTTGGTTGCGGTTAACCGATATTTCGGTGCGGTTAAACCGAAACCGCACCGACTAACACCCCTACATGCAGATGCAGGGCCATAAACGCACGGGTAGAGAATAACACTCAATGAAAAGATCTTACATGCTACCTATATGAGATAGAGTTCAAGACTACGAGTCACTCTTGTTGAATTAGAAGTATAACCACTACAATAAGGTTCAAATCGAAAGATACCTCAGTTTATGACAATCTTATACGACTATTTATGCTCATAGATAATTTCAAAACTAGTCAAGTAGGGAATTGTTGGAAATCAATAGCTTTAAAAGATATATGAGAAGTCTCAAGAGAAACGCCACATTGATAGGTGAACATCTGTTAAAGATGTATTACAGGGATGGAGCCAGGATTTGACGATCGGAGAGGGAGCGCGGGGGGGGGGGGGGGGGGGGGGGGATATTTTAGCGTATAACAAAACATAACTATGAGCAAAAATTAATCATGCATCTTATTGTCTAGTATGTTTCTCTGTATGTTTATCACTGGGAAATGAATGTTCACCAGTATTATTGTTGAAAAAAATGAAGTAATTAATATATAAATAAAAAATTTATTAGAAAAAAGAATTTAGAAGAAGGTTACTTGATTTATTTTGAAGTCACATGACTTATAAACACAAATTATGAAAGTTATATGGTTAAATGCAATGATTAATATATAACTAAGAGAATCAAAACTAAGATTTTAAAAGTTGGAGAAGTTACTTCTACTTTCGAAGCACTTGACATGTAAATACAAACTATGAAAGTTATTTGCCTTTGGTTACATCACGTTAAGCTATAACAAGTTTAAAAAGGTAAATTTTTGCAAAGCTTGAATCCAGGTCAATTATAGATACATGCAATGTCATTTCTGCTAGACTATCTTCAAATCCTTGTCCTATAATTGCACGCGACAAGTATTTATTAAATAACCTTCATTTTATACGTAATTTTACTAAGTTCGATAAAATTTGCTCGTGATTTCAAAATTCTTGGGGAGGGAGAGGGGGGGGGCCGAAGGCCCACCTACCTCCAACCCTGATGTATTAGATAGACTTTTCTCTCAAAAGAACATATTCTTTGGATTACTCACTTTTATTGGAGAAGGAAAACCTAAAAAACTTTATACTCACTATTTGAGTTTTTCAAACCCAGTGAATTTTACCCCCTTTTTTACGAATATACCCATGGGTTTTGGTTTGGGTTTGGCAAAACCCGACCCAACCCGACCCATTGTCATCCCTATTAACAACAGCCCTTAACGCATCATTAGACGCACAACCCAACTAAGTAGGGGTGAAAAACAGTCCGGTCCGGTTTTAACCGGACCGGATTAACCCGGTTTTTTTAAACCGTTTTGGCATATAGCACAACCGAAGACAGGATTGGATGGGTACCTGGTTTCAATCGTGACCGGACTGGATGGGATCCAATCCGGTCCGGTTTCAACCAAAAACATGGTAAAATTGGATCCTCCCAAAAAACGCTACCGTTTGAATGAAATTAAAAAAAAAAAAAACTATCTCCCAAACCCCACCTCCCACCGGCACAATCCACAAATGAACAATCTCTAATTTTTTTTTATTGAAACACAATCCCTAATTCTTCCCTTAGCGATTATTCTTCTCCCTCCGCCTCTTCGTGAACAAAATTAACCCAACCTATTCTTCTCTGCTTTCTCATCGATGCTGGCAAAGCATTGTTGGCGGAGTTCCATATGACGACACGGCAAAGAAGAGTCGGAGGAAGAGGATGGGTGCGCCTTAGCCTCTCCTTTTGAATAGGAGATCGGATTCTAGAGAATCCCAAAATCATCGCCTCCGCCGCCGACTTCCTCAGCGTCGATTCGGTAGTAAAGTTCAGATCTCGGTGAGGAACTTGCTGACTGGGGAATCGCCGTAGATCCGCTGGATGGTGCCATGACGGGAGTATCTAGGTCCTTGCATGTCGGGAGAGACGCGAATCGAGGCTTGGCTGATATGTTCCCTCCTCCGACTGAGCGTTCATCGGCCAGAGGGTGAAGTAGCCGGAGTGTAGAGAGAACGAGGGCTGGGCTCGTCTGAGCTTCCGTCAGGCAGAGGGTGAGGCAAAATAAGGGAGAGTAGAGAGAACGAGGGCTGAGCTCGACTGACCGTTCGTCGCCAGAGGGTGAGTCAGCCGAAGCGAGAGAAGAGGGAAACGAGGAAGAATGTTGGAGAAAGGGAATAGGAAGAAGAGTAAGCGGCGCACGACGGAGTGTTGGAGCCTTGGAGGTGGCTCAAGATAGGGTGCATAACCCATGGTTATGCACCCATCAATAACCAAATCTGAACCCTTCATTTAGAAAATCCAGATATAAGGATGGAGAATTAAAGGTCATTTTTATTTTCACTAGTTTTCTTAATTGACTCATATCTTTTTCGTTTTAACTCGGATTTTAATTTTTTTTGCACAGATGGAACGAGTTCATCGTGCTCTACAAAATGAGATCAATTTTCAATATTTTTTGAGGAAAAAAAAATTCTGGCCTCTCGGTACCAACTACATACCATATGGTATTTGCTTCGTTTTTCATTCGTTTTTGAAAACGTTTGCACAACAGGGACGAGTTCATCATGATCTATTGGATCTACAAATTTCTGGGTGAACAAATTACAAGACCAAAAAATACCACACAATACCATACAATACCACCCTGGTACGGGGTGATATTTTATGGTATACAATGTTAAAAGTCGTAAATGACAATTAATATACTTCTACTATCATGTATTCAATCATCCTACAGTCTTGGTTTGTTCATACTACCATGGTACGCTTTTCAACCCATAGGTATGCTCTTATTTCAATACCAGTCAATACCATATGGTATAGACTGGTAAAAAATGGCTCAATTTTTTTTGTTCGAAAAATATATCAAAGTGGATATCATTTTGAAGAGCACAATTAATCTGATCTAACTCTGCAAAAAAAATTAAATTTCGACTTAAAACGAGTGAGAAATCGTCCGTCAAAGATTAAGGAGGGGAAAATTAAAGGATTTCCAGGAGAGAGATGATGATGATGTCATGCTGATGTGGACGGATTACTCATAGTTACTCACCATAAGATTACTGACCTGATCCATTCCCCTTGGAGGTGATCGATTTTTAGGATTTTGCAGGCTGTGGACTTTGGGGGTGGTGTTTTGCCCCTAGGCTCTAACCGCAGACTGGATTGGGTTAAATGGTATCCGGTTTTCGGTTATAACTGGGCCGGTTTAAACTAGGCGGTTTCCGGTTTGACCAAAAAACCGGGACCGAATTTCCAGCCCTATAACTAAGTAATTAATTAATCACCTCCCTAAAGGCTAGCCATAGCCATGAAAAGTTACACCTATTGATAATTGAAAACTCATCGCACAAACAGAGTTCATGGTTCCGTTTCTTTACTACTGATGGAATCCCCAAACTAGCTTGGAATTATTGGATATCCAAATAAATTACATTACTACAATGAAATATATCCCTACCTTGTTCTTCTTTTGGATGGGAAAACTAACACCACTAGTTACAAATAGACTCCCTACAACTGGTACTGGTTGCGCCATGGGCACAGAGAAGAAGAAACCAAAGACGTCGTAAAAGGATGATGTGCTGCTACTCCACTGGCTTAAATTGTATACAACAGTACGTCACTTCTTCCGGAAGCGGTTTAGCCTTTAGTGTTCCAAGGCTGCTCAAGTGAAGTTTCATTCCAAAGATAATTATATACATAATGCTTTCAGCTGCATAATAAGAGTAGCAATGATACCCACTACACATTCTATCTATCAGGATTCAGGACCCTTTCTTGGCTTTTTTCTCTCCCGGACTAGGCTTGCAAAACAAATAACAAAAAAAAAAAGGAGATTAGATGTAGAACTGCAATCTCATTAGCCTAAACAAATCCCCTATTAGCCAGCCAACTATACACAATTCATTGTTGGAGTCTGAACTCTGAACTCCCTGTGGCAGTATAACTACTTTCCCTTACCCTTTCTACTCCTGCTCTTCCTGTGTTTCCCTTTATAATAGGGCAATGTCTATTTTTTACCCAAACCTTTTCAAAATTCTTTTATTTTACCCAAACCTATCAAAATTCTATTTATTATCCAAACTTATTGTAACTGATCAAAGTCTGGGCATTCGTTCTGTTACCGTTACTTATTTCGCAACGGAACTCCACGTCAGCATCCACGTCAACATACACGTCTGAAATTAATAAAATAAAAAATCATAAAAAAATTTGAAATTACAAATAAAATAATAAAAAATATCAATTCTTTATTTTTGTTCATTTACTCTCTCCGCCTCTCGACTCTCTTTTCCCCGATCCTCTTCCTCTCTCTGCCTTCCCTTTTTCTTCTTCTTCTTCCAGAAAAAGAAAAAGCTCGATCTGGAAAAAATGGATCAGGAGGGGCATCCCATTCGATTTATCTCCTCGCCTCCCTTCCTCTCCTCTCCGCCACCGTCAACGAACTGTAGAAGAAGAAAAAACAAGAAAAAGCTTCCTTCAGCGCCGGTAATTCCGAGTCCAATCGAAGACGACTCACTCCATGGCCCCTCTCCTGTGGATGGGAAAGATCTGGAGGCGAATCACTCCTTGCCGCCTCTCCTGTCGGGATGGAGAAGAAGCCGGCCAAACCCGGAGAAGAAGTCGTCGCTTCTTTCACTTCCCGCCATGTCCATGCCCCGCCGGGAAGAAGCCTGGGTCTTCGCTGTGATTGGGATTTGAGAGAAAATCCGAGGGATTGCGAGAAGGAAGAGGAAGAAAGCCCAGGTCTTCGCTGGGATTGGGTCGCCGGAGAAGCTTCTATCTAGATCTCGTCGGAGAACCAGACGGCGGCGGCGGGGGTGGTGACGGCGACAGCGGCGGGTATTTTGGATACGAGCGCCGCGGTTAATTATGACGACCTGAATAATAACCAGCAGAAGAATGTGTTGTCGCTGGATCTCAATTTGCCGGCGCCGGATGATCTCGACGCCCACCAGCATCACCGTGCAGAGCAGTCTCCGTCGAAGTTCCAGTTCGCGTCGAAGCAATCGACGAAGGCGATGATGTTCTCGGCTCCGGCGTTGGTTGGGTGCCACTACTGATCAGAAACAGAAGAGAGAAGCCAGAAGGAAGAAGAAGAGGAGATAAGCTCGCAACTCCACACTCAAGCTGCAAAGCAGTTCAAGGCTCCCGATTTGGGACGATGAGGAGGTGGATGAAACTGGAGTCGAGCCGAAGGTCATTGAGTTGGTGATGACACATAATAAAAAAAATTAATTTATTGCCACATCAGCATTTTTTTGCCCGTGCAGTTTTAACTAACGGAACTATTAACGGAAACTTAACGTTTGGATAATAAATAGAATTTTGATAGGTTTGGGTAAAATAAAAGAATTTTGAAAAGGTTTGGGTAAAAAATAGACATTGCCCTTTATAATATACAAAAAAGCTTGGAGTTGGAGTCTTCTTCATTGTTTTTCACTTTTTTTCTCATCGTATCCCAGTTTTGGTTTGATTCAAGAAGGAACAGTTGCCATGTGGTGAATTCAGATGTCAGCACATGGCTTCTTCCCAAATATCCATGCACCCCTTAAACCCCACTACTTTCTACTGTCACCCAATGCAGAGAGAGATACCAGCTGTTTTGGATTTCCTAGGAAAATCCCCCTTCCACGTTTCCTTTTTTTTTTATATGTCCAATCCCATGCATAAACAACAAGCAACAAGGAATTGTAGGACATCTCAGCTAATCTCATATTGATTAATCTGGGGTTATGATATCACTTTGCTCACCATTTCACAGACTCACACTTCCCAAGCTTCATCCAAAAGCCAAAATCTCATAAAGAAACCACCGCTCATCAAACCCCCTCCAATTTCCTTCTTCTTCTTCTTCTTCTTCTTCTCCAACTAGTTAAGGCTACTACATCTATCTTGCCTTCTTTTCCTCTGGGTCTGCCCCAAAAGGGGGAACTAAGGAGACGGTACTTGTGCATTCTTACCGATCTCATCTTCCCCATTATAGTACCTCTACATCTCAATATCTTGTCTTCCATCTCTATCCATCCTCACCCACCACCACTGTAGCTTAGATTACGCCATAACTTACTCCTCTTCGTTTCAAGTTTGGTCAGCCCTAGAAAAAAATTGAAGAGAAGATGAGTTCCTGCAGAACCCACATTTGCACAATCTCTTTCTTCTCCCCACTTCCCCTGATCCTATCCACCATCCTTGGCTATGGATTCTCAGCTCACATCTTCCTCGTTGCACTAGCACTCCTGCTTTTCCCCAGATTGAAACTTGGCACACCACAACATACCCCGATTATAGTGAAAGCCCTAGTTCAGGAAACCCTAGAATCCGAAGCTATTCAGCAGGAAAAATCAAAGCAACAGGAAGAGGAAGAGGAAGAGGAAGAAGCGAGGAGGAGAGAGCTGACCGATGGCGAGTGCAAAGGGAGGCTGTCGTCGACGAGCGAGGAATCGGAGGTGGACTACTGGCCGTTTCAGAGGAACATGTTCCAGAGCCCGGATTTCTTGGACGGAGGATACATCTCCGACGAGGAGAGCTTGATCGAGATTGCGCTTCCCGGCGGGGAATTCGTCATCCGATCAAGCTGCAAAGACCACCACCGTCAATTCGCGATTGCAAGCTCGTTCTGCAAGCAGAGCTTGATGATCGAAGAGGACAACTTGATCGAGATTGACCTTTCGATGGGCTCAATTAAGTGCCCTACTAGGTTCCAGATACAAGCTTAATAATTGCTTGCTCTTTGCTTAAACCCTTCAATCCAAATTTTCCTCACGAACCGGCCCGCGGTAATTAACCTCCTTTTTTTTTTAATCCTTTTTCAGGATTTGGGTTACACTTTAATTTTGGGAATATAGGGGGTACTGGCTAGTGGTGGCTACTGGTTGTACTATTTTTTTTTTTTTTTGCTACATAGTACTTGATTTAAATACTAAATTTATATCTTTCTTTTTGTTTTTACTTTTTACCATCATGCGATGAGATCACTATTTGTGAAATCGCACAATCACAAATCAGTTGTATCATGTATGTTGGTTTATTTGCTCATCATAAATGTTCCGTATGTTAAAGATTAAGTCGGTGTAGCATAGCTCCTTTGTGCTTTTATGAGAGTTTATCACAACATTGTTAAGATTTATCATTCAAGTACATCTTTTTATGGGTAAATCGGTGTACATGGGTCGAATGGTTCGAGTTTGGCTATTTTAATCACTCTATTCATATACTACGGTTTTGAAAATATTAAATTCATACCCATCCAATAAAATTAAAACCCTACGATATGTTTATAATTGGGTTGGGTCAGATTGGAGATACTTTTATTTAAGAACCCAACACAAAAAAATCCAACTATTCTATATTACAACAATATTATATAACTAATTAGAATTTTAAGCAAATAAATCGAGGCAAAAAATAGCATAAATATTGTTTGGATTTTAATGAAATACAATTTACTTCAACATATGTCTAGTTTTTTCATAAATATTTGTCAAAATAAGCTAAAGTGGTTATAAGCTAACACATTGATAATATATTGTTCTTCTAAAATTGTACACAAGAAAAAAGATTACGTGAATCATAACTTTAGACTAGGGAAACCACAAGAGAAAAATATGACAAGATATCTTAATGTTCTCACAAATATGCTTATTTACGACAAAAATGTGTTTTGGATACGAACACTAATGACAAAAGTTCAACACAGGTTGGGCCGGGTTCTACGGGTTCCCTTACCCAAAATCCGCACCCAACCCAATAGAGACAGACAAGTTATATAAAAGAAAACTGTCACCCAACCTTAAACATTAATTTTGTCGATAAATACATGTGGGTTGGGTTGGGTTAGATGAGCAAATCAGTTTGCGGATTATTTTGTTGCCATTTCTTCAAAAAAAGCCCAACCACGACTTTCTTATTGTTGGAACAAGTATGAATACTTAGTGAAAAATCAAAGAGTTCTCAAAATACAGCAGGGAAGAAAAGAGCCCGATAAATAGTCTCTATAGATACGCTTTCTCTCCTTTTAAAACTCTAGTCTTTGAGGTTACCAATAACACCCAAAATGGTATTATTAAGCTTTAATATATAGGGTCATTTAAGTCATTTCATGGTATCATTGATTGATAATTCATTAAATGCATCTGTATCTCATTCCTCGAAGAATATATGGCATGTTAATTAGGATGGATTAGATAATACATAAGGTTTAGGTACGAAAAGAGGTCACAAGTGTAGTAAAAGGAGCAAAAATGAGTGATCACGACAGAGCAAAGAGATCACGCCCGGGAAGCAAAGGCACGAAACTGAGTATGAAGATTGCAGCCTCCAGTGTTGTGATCGCGTGCGCGAAGTTGGGAGTCTCAAGCACGAACTTCTGAAGTAGCCACTAAAGAAGGACCAAAGAGTTTTGACCATCGATTTGCGGCTCTCATCGTCCAAGCCTGAGAGAAAGATTGCAGTCACGACTCACCGATCTCGACCTTAAAGTCAGGTCGCAAACTTCCCATCCACCAAGGCGTAAAGATGCTACATCCGAGATCGCAGCCTCGCCCCCAAAGATTGCGCCTGCAAACTTCCCTCATTCAGCCGTGAACTTGGCCGAAGAACACTATAAATAGGGGACTCTTCTCCCTTTACATAGGAGCTGAAAACACTAGGTGAAATTCTGATTTTGGGAAAGAAGTTAGAGATAGAAGCTGAAGGAAGGAGAAAGAGGAGCCAAAAAGGAAGGAAGATCTTCCTCATCTCTAGTTTCTTCAGATTCATGAAGTCGCGCCGCGATCTTTCTCACGGGCTCGGATGAAGAAAGTTGTGAGTCAACTATCAAAAATTTCTGTTTCTTCATTGTTATCTGCTCCAAGAGTTCGCACCTGAGGCCTCCGGCTTCGCGGCCATGATCTTGACTCTTAAGGCTGCGATCTCAGTTCCCGGATTCGCGTTCTCAGTTCCCGGCCGTGATCAAGCATGCCCTAGTCGTGATCCTCTGTTTTTGCACATTTCTCTATACTTGTGCCCTCTTTTGGTACCTAAAACTCTCATATATCATATAATATACACCCTAAAATGCTAATATTTTCTCCAGGGAATGAATGCAGGGTATATTTGACAATATATAGACCTTCAAAATTATGAATTAACTCAAAATGAATCTAAATATAAGCTCTAATTACACCATTTTGGATGTTATCATATATTAGGACCTCCTTCTTTTGACTAAGTAGTTGAGGGATTGAAGGATAATCAGTTGACTTTATGAGATTTAAATGTTCTCAAACTCCCCTAGATTTCTTCATCAACATATGATTGAAAAGCTGATTAATTTGATTATTGGGTACTCATACTTTTTCATCTTCCATTGTGCGCCATTTTTGCCCATGAAGATATGATATTCACCTTTTTTTCTTCGGAAAAAGAGTGAAATTATCAATTTTGACTTGAGACGAATGCAAAAATGTTTGGAAACTTTTATTAGAAAAGTAAAATGCAAAGCCATATCAAGACTTTACTTTCAGTAAGTGTGTGCAAACGGGATAAAACAGTTTTGCATGGTAATTGTCATGTTGCTAAATTTTGTTTGTTTCCCTTCTTTTAGTGGAAAAGTGTAAGTCAAGCCATGAGAATATTTGCAAGCCCTCGCTCTGACTCCTTATTTCAGTTTTGCTCATTCCTATAAGTGTTTTGAGTTTACGACACATCAAATTAAGATTCAGGTCATCTTGAAATGTCTCCTTTTATGCTAACGGGCAACTGTGTTCCTCGTGAAGATCTACTCAATACAAGAGAGTTGGGTGCAACTGATTTAGGAGTGGTTCCGCCATGGAAGTTCTTGGTCTCCCATAAAAAGGGCTTTTGTTCGATAAGACTTTGATGGTAAGAGTCCTCTTGTTCTCAAAATACTCTTTATTCAACTGGCTGGTTGCTAACCACACATCCCAATCGACGATCAAGCATAACTGAAGATCTGGTGTAGCGTAGGGTGAGCAAGCAACAAAATTTATCGTACCACGGGGATCTAACCTTACCTTACTTCAGGTTAAGGGTTCATCATTTATCCAACCTAGGATAGTGATTAAGAAGAGTAAACAAACTAACCTAGCTAATTATAAGGTGGTGGAGCTCTTTAGGTTAGGATCCCTCTAGTTTAGTCAATTGGAACAATGTTGAGTACTATCCTAGCTCGATTGACTCACCATCCTCTTGTTAAGAGATATTCTCACTCGGGATTGACCCGAAATGACAAAGTGATGGATGGATAGGTTCTTCATTCAACCTAGGGTTTCATATATTTCTAGGAGAACGATTGAATCAACTCCCTCGTGGGATTACCCGGACAATATGCGATAGGAGTGATCTGAAGACACTAATTGTGGGCTTTAAGGGGATTATCTGCCTCCTAGGTCCAAAGCTCAATTGCTATGAAAAGGAAACCAAAATCAATAATTCACGAACAACCATCCAACACTTTGATAAATTCATCAATCAAACATGTATTTGTCACATGCATCAATATTAACCCAAAACCTATGCAGGAACGAAAGACCGAGCAAACTAGGTCCTCACTGGGATACACGATAAGAACAAAGCATAAGGAATGCATCACTCACTCTCGACCAGTGGGTTTAGGACCATTCTGATGCAAAAGATGTGCATACTCAAACGCTCATCCCTGTCGTCTCTTCACTAGGATGGTAACCTCTAATTGTTAGAAATTACAAGATCGATGTCATCATTAGCTTGTTTGGAGGTCTTATACATGGGTTCAGATGACTGGCTAGGGCCTTAGACATGGGGGAAATGT